ACTCACTCTTAACCATGTTGACTTCATTTTGGGCCAATTCCAGACTAGAGCATCTAAGAGTTTTAAATAAGTGCTCACAGAAAAGACTGAAACACCTGATTTCTGCAATTTAGAGGGCTGATTCAGTAGTGTTGGTATTACAGCAGAAATAGGGTAAGAAACGTTGTGCTGACGTCTCGTGTGTGTTGCCTTGTTGCGGGTTCTGACCTCCTCTAAGGTCAGCAGATGCAGCCAAGTAAGCAAAGTTATCCAAGCTGATCACGTCGATAATGGGGCTGACCACTCGCGTATGATCCTGGAAGAAACAGCAGAAATGATTCAGAGAGAGATCCTGAGATGACTCAGAAATCAGAGAAACATCACATTCGACAGCAAAACACAAACGACACGTTCTCAAAGCCTTCACTTTACAACTTATGAGGCAACACCAGGACGACAGCAGGAACGGATTAGGTCAAGTTTACTTTATTGGTTTTCACAGTGATTTGTTAACAAAACTGAAGCTTTTATTTATTATTATTATTATTATTATTGGCAGAGTCACATCTGTGAAGCGTTAAACCACCTCCCGCTAAGGCAAAGGCAACCCGATCCCCAAAGTAAATACACCAGATGAGGGAACTGTTGGCTCCTGCTGGTTCTGCAAGTCTTTGCGAAGGCGATCCGCACACGCTGTTGTTTGAGCAGAAGTCAGCTGCGTCAGTGTGTTTGTGTATGAGGGGCCCCATGGGCCAAAACTTACAAACTCTCTTACATTCACTATCAAACTCTCTAACAGAGTTTGATTACAACAGAAGTTATCTTAAAATTTCAGTTTCTGATTGGACCCCAGGCACGCTTTTCAAAATAAAAGCGGACCTCCGGTTTATGTTTGATTCATGTTTCTCTCCTGTGGCTTTAAAAATGTAAAACTTTGTGTTAATTGATTTGCTAAAGGAAATCATGTATCTGAAAATAAATTAAAACATATTATGTGGGCAAAAAATTCTGTAAGCCACATATGTGCTACCTCAATCAAAATTGCTGACATTTGACATGCAAAAAATCTTTCAGATTACATAAACAATATCTTACACCAGGTACTTCTCTCACTTCAGGATGACACAGGGACACCTATAAGACCAATTTTAACTGAAGTTGCACATATGTGGTTTACAGGATTTTTTGCCCGCACAATTTTTTTTTTTTTTCAGATACATAATGTCGTTTTGCAAATTAATTAACACAAAGCTTTAGCCTGTTATAGCCGCCGGAGAGAAACTTGACGTGTGAATCAAACACACACGCTTTTTTTTTTCAAAATAAAAGCGCCACTTTTTATTTTGAAAAGTGAGCGCCATAACTTGTGCTGTCGCGCACATTAAAATCGAGTGCAGGCTGGCTTTACTGCCATTTCCGAAGAGACGGCTAGCTTTATCCCACTGATAGATGGGGTTTCCGATGCTGGCTGTCGGCTTCTAAACACTTCTGACATTACTGTGGGAGCGCTAACGATGTCATTTAAAATATTAGTTGCCTCTGTGAGTCGCTGCCGCTCAGCTATTTTTCTGCCCGTGAAAACCCGCCTACTCCTGCCTGGCTGGGGTCCAATCAGAAACTGAAATTTTAAGTTAACTTCCGTTGCAATCAAACTCTGTCAGAGAGTTTGACTGTGAATGTAAGAGAGTTTGATAGTACGTGTAAGAGAGTTTGACTGTGAATGTGAGAGAGTTTGACTGTGAATGTGAGTTTAACTGTGAATGTAAGAGAGTTTGATAGTGAATGTGAGAGAGTTTGTGAATGTGAGAGAGTTTGATAGTGAATGTAAGAGAGTTTGATAGTACGTGTAAGAGAGTTTGACTGTGAATGTGAGAGAGTTTGACTGTGAATGTGAGAGAGTTTGATAGCGAATGTGAGAGAGTTTGATAGCGAATGTGAGAGAGTTTGACTGTGAATGTAAGAGAGTTTGATAGTACGTGTAAGAGAGTTTGATAGTACGTGTAAGAGAGTTTGATAGCAAATGTGAGAGAGTTTGATAGTATGTGTAAGAGAGTTTGACTGTGAATGTGAGAGAGTTTGATAGCGAA